AACAGATGGGGGTTTTATGAACACTGCCACTTGGACCTTCCGATTTGGGAGGTGGAAAGAGTGTGGCAGGTCATTCCTGAAAATTTGAGTTAATCGAGCAATTTCAAGCTTAGCTCCGATGCCCTGGGGTTAGGTTCTTGATCCAGGGGCTTTGGCTAAGAACCCCAGTCATCCTCCGCTCTAGGTCTGTGTGCTCTGGAGGTAACTCAGCCCACAAATTGCCATAAACTTAACAGATAAGATTACCTTTATGCCCCATCGACCATCGCATGGTCGACATCAGCCTGATTTCAGCCTGTTCAGGCTACATAAACTAGGGAAGATAAGCGAAAATGCGCGGCTGCTGATGTCTCCTGCCTTTTCCCATTGTTGTGTCTTAACTGCTGACTTGCCCCACTCGACAATCACCCTCATGCATATTGCAGCTTTGGCACTTGAATCAAAGACCTATTTGATGCATCACTTAAACTAGAGAAACACGATCCAAGTACGGTTACTAGGCTTACAGCGCCCTTTCTATCTAGGCTCTACAAACCACTACTCAAGTGGGTGGAGCCGATGTTGACATAGACCTAGGTTCACTAGGTGAGGCTTCATCGTTTCACAAGATATCTGTAAACAACCGTCTATATGATGTCGAACTTTATACTTTGACAAAAGCTCGCACTGGCCGAAATACTAAACGTTCATTTTGTTGTGCCTAGTTATGCACCAACGAACAGTAACTATTGAAAGACAACTTCTATCGAGAACTGGCTACCCTCATATCCATCAGAAAAGTTCACATGTAGTCATAGTGGCAGGAGATTTCAATGTACAGGTGGGACGCTCCGGTTCGTCAGAAGGACGACTTTGTGGAATGCTTAGTTTGGACGCACAATGCGATGATAATGACGACAGTTTTTTGCATCTTTGTACTGATCACCAGTTGTTTCTCAGTAGTGGTGGGTTTGGAGGCGGGGAAACCTTTTTATGCCCGGCTTCCCCCTACAGTTGAGCAGAGTTGAAGTCAAACGGACCATATTTCCGTCAGCTATCGATGGTGTGATCCAGTCCTTGATTGCAGAATATGTACTTGGTCGGTTCTGACTTTCATTAAACTTTACCGGTAAACCCAGTAACAAATTCTCATTTTGACGGTAGAAAACCCTGTGAGCTACAAGTTAGGGAGACAAACCAAAGCATACAGCACAGTGTACTAGAAAGACATTGGCCGAAACTGGGTAAAACATAACCACTGCTACAGGTGACGTCAGATATTTTACTTGTGACATTTTTGGGTGCGTACATGGAAACCACTCGATTTTAAAACTGCCATTATCACACTATACGAGGCGGTCCATATCTTCTGACTTAGATTATTTTTCCGCTAGACGACCAATTAGACAGCAGCTCAAACTTAGTCTGTGTGTGAAGAGGGAGCTGTGGTGGAACCAGAAAGCTCAAGAGTTGGGAGAATTCAGTGTAACTGGGAATGCACAAGAGCTGTTCCAGCTAATCTACGAAACAAAACTCAACAGAATTTCCATTATTTAATCAAAGATATTCTTTCGGACCTAATACACAAAGACCTGCGTCTAGATCGTTGAACGAAACATCTTCAACAATAGTTTATCTCGCCCCTTTTCTCTTGTACTTATTTCTTTCATTTTTCCCGTCAATTGTGAGCCGTGGTCTTTGATTTTAGATTACCCTCATTCTATGAAATATTAATGTCTTTCGGCACTGAAGCTTTATCGAGCTGTTGGACTAGGTGAGTTTCCCACAGAGTTGTTCAGAGATGAAGGAGAATCATTGTGTTCCGCTTTGACTAGGCTACTTGTCCTTATTTGGGAACAAAAACGTTTTTTAGAGAATTAAAATTAATCATCGTTCACTTTGGGATTCAAAAAAGATGCCCAAATCTCCACAGGGATATAAGTCTCCCGTCTATCGTTACACAGCTATTTGTTTTACCTATTTGACGCCTACCTTCATTCCGAAAGCACCACGCAAGACTTCGATCTGACACAAGATGCATTTATCGTAACTTTACGTCAGGTTCCTGAGGAGCGCCATATATACTGCCGAACAACTTTAGCGGTTTACTTCGATTTTAACGAGCCGCCAACTCAGTGGCTAATTGAACTCTCTGTAGTATTTTTGGCAACGAGAGGATACTATTAAATTTCGTGAAGATTCTTTGTACCATCTATTCGCACAACTCCGTTTGAGTAAAGGTATGCAGTCAAATGTTCAAAGGCGTGCTGAAAACCTGCAGTCCTTCAGTTTTGTCTCCCTTCTTTCTTGTTCGATTTTTTCATTAAGTTATCACGGATTGTATATCATTTCGTTGTTTGACCATTGTCCACGCAAAGTACTTTTAACAGAATAATCGGAGATGCTCACATATTTTGGCACACATTTTGCACCTTGACAGTCTTAATTCAAGGTTTTCTATTCCCCAGTGCTTCTCTGAAACCTCAGCATTAGGGACTTGCCTTAGCTGATCAGCTCACATAACTTCAGTGCCGCGAAACCCGTGATTGTACTGTGATAGATAAAGTTGATGCGCGGTCTTTATATATGTCTATTAGACCTATCCTCTCCTACCCTCCGACCTCAGGCATCCTCAAGTGTCTCGTCTCCGTCGTACGGCAAAATTTAGCTGGCTGCAACCAGTAAGCAACGGAATTGCGCGAAGGCAAATCAGTACTATCATCAGGGACAGAAACATCCGTGTTACCACTGGTGTTTTAGTGCCATACAACCACAAGTTTCAATCAGTCATATCTAAAATAAGAAGGACAGAAAGGAGTGGACGAAGGGAGGGATATGGTGCTTACTTACCGAAAACATTTCGCGTCCGCCACCAGGCGCTAGACCAGACGATCTGGAAAGAAAGTGGCAACACGAATGCCACTGACATTTCTTGCAGTTTCTCCAGTCAGTCGCAGAAGGGGTCACGGCGATCCCATCCCGTAAGACATTCCGCATCAACAACACAGACTCTTCGTAATATCTTTCATACCCTTCCAACATACCATACATTGTCCACCTTGTGGTTCGTGCCATTCTGAAGGAGGCATGGGGAACAACACTCGTTTCGATAGACGATGTCTCGGAATATGGTCTGGCCACCGCAGTTCCTGGTGTTGGGTGTTTTCCGCTGGTGGAGTACCCATCGCACACCCAAATACCGTTTTCCTAATTGCTTCGTTGACGCCATCCGACACCAGTAACACTTCTGAGACATCGGTGGTTGCATCACTGTCTGCACTTGCTGTTACTTCCTAATCAGTTTACTCAGCTAACAATTCACCTGTTGTTATACTCCGAGTTTGGGTCTACGAAGGAGGCTTGCTCAATCCCGATATGATGATCAGAGGTGTTTATTTTAGTGCCATCCAAAGGTGCGGGCGCCTTATTCTTGATCATTCTACTTAAGAATACACGGCTTCATCGTACTAACTTCCTACCTTTCGCCTCTTTTTTTACTAAGACATTCTTCCTTCATGATTGTATGGTAGCTAAGAGCCATTGTGTGTTGCTGGTACACTGCTGTCCATGGTGACCTCCAAGTGGAAGTTATTCATACTGCTGACCAACCGCTCGTGTTAAGGTGTCGGATTAATGTCCGAGAAGTTACTACTAATGATTCCCAACAAGGAGTAAACAGCCGTATAGGGTTTCGCAGACCGTTTGGCACGAAGTGACTTCACTTACAGGACGAAAGTTGTGGAAAAACGATCCAGAGTAATCTGTACTGGGGTGAAAATTCAGGATGAATTTATGCAACTTAATATCGCATTGTTTGGTCACATGATGTTCAGAAATGCCACTTATAGCTTTGTTTGAGGGTCAGTTAAGTTGACAGATTCAAGGAATATTCTTCCTAAGCCGGAATAGATACGAATTTCCAGCATGTTGAAAGATGTTGCTACCGTTTGGCTGAGCCACCAAGTGCAATGTCTGCTTTTCTAAATGATACTACCGTCTGGTATCTTTTGTTTGGCATATTTGAATCGTAGTTCTCTATCGATACATGCCATAGGATAAACAAGGACGAAGTTTTTGTTTAGGTGCTCAGGTTAAATACATGGATCAGCAGCTGGGACATAGTAGATCCAATCTTATATAGTTGAAGAAATAGAATTCATCATCCAAATCAAGACCATGCTCAAGATCAGGTTGGTTTCTGACAACTCCATACCGGTTTCAGTGTTATACAGTTGACACAGCAATTTTTTTCAAACGTATTTAGCAGGTAAGAGTATCAAAAAGGACATATTAGGTCTGGACGTGCTTTTGCAAGTTAAGTTGCTGTTGTTGCCAGGAAACGCAATACCCCTCGACAGTTTCTTCAACACGCCATTACTTGAAGGACTGATACAGACTTATGAAATTTCACCTCTCCTCATTCATAAAGTCGGTATAGTATCCCTCACTTCAATTTCATCCTAGTTTACAAATGAGTCTTTACCTCCCAATAACGGAATCTGAATACCGAAGAGATGTCAGTGGTCGACTGAGGAAGACAACCTGTTATGATTCCAACAGTGATTAAGGTGTTATGACAACATTTTGGCAAAAACCGCAATCCAACGCATGGAATGGAAGGAGTCAAAAGCAGCCAAACCACCTCAGTCTAGTTCGATTTGGGATAACAATGATAGCCTTATCTCCCTAGCCAAAGCCTCAGCGTCCTAAAAAAAGCTGCGTTAAAACATGGCTACATAGAAAGGAATTCTGTAAACAAGGGCATCTGCATAGACCGAGGTTCCTCTGGGCGGAAGAAATATCCTAAATTATTCCACATCATCATCATCACCATCATCATCATCATCAACACCGTCATTGTCACGATCGTTGTTATCACCGTGATTATATTACTACCACTGATTGATTATCGGTGTCAGTTTTGTTACATAAAACTCTCGAAGCATGTTCACTTGATGTGATCTGGTGAAAATTCGCTGTTGTCAGTAAGGCACACTCGAAACTGCTGACTTACCTTCTGGTTGGAATGATGATAGAGAGACGAACGCATCGCGTAGCGAATTTGCCGTTTCCGATTGCACAAAACCGGCATCATCAAGCATAATAAATAGTAGGTAAATACTATGGACCAGGGAACCTAGTAGATAGGGCACGACCAGCAGTTGCCATAACACTGTGGATATAATGTGGTAAAATTTGTACTGTTTCTTTGTGAGGTCACGAGGACGCAGACGGACAACTATTGCTAATCCCCAAAACAATACGCAAATTGTCGATCCAGTACCATCCAAAATAATCTTTATAAAGGATCGGGCCTCGATGCGTGACTGAACAAAATGGTCAGCGTTCAACTCTGATTCAGTAACTTCTTGGGCCAGATGAAGATCTAGCACACGGAGACTCCGTAGCGTATGGACAAGAATGATCACTGAGATCATGCTGCTCAACAGACAGAGGTGAACAGAATGCATTGTGAAGCATGAGATGGTTCTGGTTTCTTTCCTTGAACACTGTCAGCTGATCGTCCACACTACACTCAGTTGCGTTCAAAACCATTGGCAATCGATTTTTTTGGTGTCGGGGTGAAACATATGACCTGTAAGTAGAGGACCTTCACTAATCCTTAGATGGCAACAAGAAATCCATTCATGAATTTTTACCACCGAAAGAAAACCCTTATATGAAACAGCAAAATTGGAGAGTATCTACCGTGAACATGGATGCAACATTACCGTTTTGATAGTTTCTTTAGACCCAGTAAAATAGCTCCTTGGTGCTGATTTCGGATCCATTCTCAACAAAATGCAAACGGTAAAGCCTACTTCCGCTTTTTATCTTGCAAGTTACTTTCGAACAGCAATTATTCGAAGCATTACCATAAGGGTATCCAATGCCCCTACCACTTTTCTGTGTACTGTGCAATCAGTCTCCTGTGACTTCGCACGCAATGACTGCCTCATGCCTAGATGACATAATCATCCACGTACCGTATAGTGGGACTTACAGCCAGCTGCTGAAAGAAAGTTTGCAATACCCATAGGTTGGTGGCCTCGAGTTTAGAACACTGAAATGTAGGTTCCCAAGCACGAGATGTTGTTTTGAGTCTTTTTATTCGTTAAAGGTGTTAAGGCGAAAAATTCAAAACTAATCCCGCTGCTCAGCTGACCGGAGCTTGTTCCCCACAAGAAACTAAGCAGTTTTGTGAAACTTTGCCGCTACTTTAGTAACTCCATTTTGCATTACTTTGAAGTGGCGTTCCTGATCTACAAGCTTACAGTGAAGGATCGGTGACTTGTGTACTGCTTCGAGACTTTCTACCTCCCCGGGTCTAGCTTTCCAGGTGGCTATTGCGCTCACCTACAGTGCTCCATCTGCAGGCACACCGATGGCGGTGATTTAACAATGGTGGTCTATTGGCATAGATCCAATACAAACAACGGGCTGTTGTGGGTTTCTCCAGCCACATACTGGCTTAGCTCACCCGACCCTGTTCTAAGGGTGACTTTGGTTTCTCTTTGACATCTTGGTTCCTTTTTGTTGGATAGGTCTTTTCTTGTTCCCGCGAAGCAGCAAACACTCTAGTGGATGCGTCATGGAAAATGGAGGACATGGGGTACGGTGGTGGACAGTCATTCAGGACCACGACTTAAGTTTCCCCTATCAAATAAACATTGAGACTGTTTCTCGCATTCAGATTCAATTCTACTTGCAGTATGAACACAAGCACAAGGAGGTGGGTTTGATTTATCTGGTATCCATCAGCAAGGAATCGGAGGGAGTTTTGAACTTATTGTTGTGTCTAGCAAAAAAACGTCAGTTGCGGAATCGTTCTGCCGGGTCCAGATTAAAACATTACATGTTATGCGTCAAGTCTCTGAGATCAGATTTAAAGGCGAGTAGCAACGCGAGCAAACATTTAGCAAGGTGGCACAGGAAGTTCATTGTTAGTCGGGATGTGGTGAAGTGAGAAAAAAGTACGTGCTGTTCAAGGACCTTTTTAATCACCCCGGTCCCTGAAGGAATACGATCATTTCTATCCAGACTGTGAGAACCTTGTTCCAACACAGCACTTCAGTCGACTGTACAGCCGTGTGCAAAGCTTTGTGATGAATGACCAGAACGAAGGCCTCCAGATTGACGTGCCCGGTGCAGTCTTTATGATACAAGAACGCAGGAGAGATAGACAAGTCACAGTCACTATTTGCACAAAATGGATTGGAATATCAAGGATGGATAACCCAGTTGGTGCTAGTCACTGAGTCGATATCAACTTAACCCACACTGCAACCGAGACCTTACACATGTAATTCATTTCGTTGGTGAGCTATATACGGACAAGAACCACATCTGATCGCCTGTTGAGCAGTAGGTCTGTGGAAAGAAAAAAATCGTAACCTCCTCCCTGTGCTACGGTTGACCTATAACTACAAAAACTCATGGGATGCACAACCTCACCCCTGTGCCAGTGTTTGTGTGGTGTGGTGTCAGTGGTTACCATTTTTGGGAAGTAGCTTATCCCAGTCGATATGTCGCACAATGACCTTTCCTCTGAATGTTGAACCATATATTACACTTTAACAGCCTCCTGCTCCTGCCAGATACACCCAAACATCCTTCTACGACAAACCCGTCACACGTTTTGAAATAGGTGTGCAACTACAGACTCGGTGCGCGCAAATAAAACTGCACAGGTTGCAGAAGTTAAGACGAACTATTGGTTTGACTGACTGTGTTCTGGAGGAACGGATTGGGACCATGTAAAGGACACTCAACGAGGGCTAAAGCGTCTTTAGCTGCCGATCCAAACTGCGTAGACAAATCGAACTTCACTTCTCGCACAATGGGTAATAAACATGCGACGCTGCCTGGGATCTATGTCTGCTGTTGGCCCCACATGCACGGACAGGCGAGATGTGTCGTATGTCTTTGCTTACTTGTCTATAAACAGTGTCGAGAAGTTTCGAACTCCGCCAATATGATTTTCTGGACTGTCTAACTTATGCGTGACTCAGAGTTCCCGATCTGGAACCCGACTTCCACAAACCCGGAGCGATGTCAATAGCGTCTCATGCAATGACGCATCAATCATGACTGCACAATGAGGAAACTGCCCAGAATTTCAAGATGCGGGGAGCTCAGCTATCTACAACAAAATTGACAGTCCAGGCGGTACGTGTGACGGTGTGGACTAGTGAAAAGGAAGCACGTTTATTCGGCTACACCGATAGCGTAAACACGCGATTAATGAGACTGCAGCATGATTAGCACGGGACATGAATCGAAGATATATGTCAGAGCACGTGTGAGTGCATGTGTGAGTGAGATTGCCCTCCGTACTGTCTAATGCAATGTCACAATGTTTAGGGTGCATGAATTGATGTGCACTCGGACAGACCACTGTTTAGATGTATTGTCTCAGAAATGCTGCTTGCGACATAATACCAAGTCACACCCTGATCATGTACTTCCCCATATTCATCCGTTGCTTTAAGTATTACCATTTCGCTGAAACCTGAGGAATTCCTCCTAACTGCTTTCAGGTTTGTAAAACCTTTCTCTTTGCTCTTGCTTTAAGACTATTTGGAATCACACTAGTTGTGTTAAGAACTAATAAGAATCGAGATGAATATGTAATGTTCATTTGTGACTTGTGTGGGAACCCAGTATTCTGAACCACACTAAAGCAAACCGTAGGAGGAAGTCGCTCGGTGAGGATAAACTGTTTTTAATGAAGGGGCTTCAAGAATTACTCTCCAGGCGTTTTTTTTTTCAATGAGAAATTTCTCATGCACCCCTCAAGAATTACTCTCCAGGCGTTTTTTTTTTCAATGAGAAATTTCTCTATCATGCACCCCCAAAATCACTAAACCAAGAGGAATCAAGTTAATTTCGGTTTTGTGACAGGAGGATTCTTGATCTGGCGTTTTAGTGCAAATTCACCTACGTCTGAACGACTACCCGGCACGGATTCAAGGGGTGTTGAATTACCGAATAAGTGGCTTCTTCCGGTTTACCTTGTGGGGAATCCTGGTAGTGAACGTAAACCCCAGAAGCATCAAAGCATTAACAGGCCTAAAGTTTAGCTAGTTTTCTTGATGTGCAGTGAGTACTCGAAAGAGAAGTGCCAATAACGAAATGACACTGAACATGGACGCTCAGATGGTCTGTTTTCTGACAGACTTTCAGCAGGAAGGTCTGAATAGCGACTACGCCGGTATTG